GATCTGAGCAGTTCTGTAACTCTGGGAGCTGCTTGGAGGTTCCTGGACAATTCCAAAGGGTTTGGAATGTGACCTTTCTGTTCTCTCCTGGCTCCTGAAGAAATCCTAGGAGGTGCAGACACCCCCTATGAGAAGGGAATATTCAACCTGGAGATCATCGTTCCTGAGAGGTGAATGGGGAGCAGCATCCAGCTTGGGTTAACTGGGTTGAAATCCTTCCCTGGGAGGGGCTGGGATGGAATTCCCAGGGGATACCCCATCCCTGGGAGTGTCCAAGGCCAGTTTGGAGCAGCCTGGGATGATGGGATGGGATTTGAGGTCCCTCCAACCCAACCCATCCCGTATCTGTTTGAGTGCTGCTCTCCAATAGAGTGAACTGCTGAACTTGCTGCTTCCCCTTATCCTGCCAACAAGGAGTGAGATTGAGCCCCTTTTTCCAAGGAATGGCCTTGTTTTTCCAGTGGCTGACACTCATTTCCCACTGACCATCCCAGATATGCTGATGAACCCCCAAGAAGGGCCACAGGAGGAAATGAAGGTGGTGAAACAACCAGAGCTCCGACAACAATCCCTTCTTCCTTTGCTCTCTTCCTTCCAGGTACCCCTTTGAGCCCCCCAAAATCCGCTTCCTGACCCCCATCTACCACCCCAACATCGACTCTGCGGGCAGGATTTGCCTGGATGTTCTCAAGTTACCCCCCAAGGTGAGGCAGCGCCGGGAGCTCCTTCCCACAGATTGAATGTCCTGTGCTCCTGATCAATTTACACCCCGCAGGGAGGGAGGGAGGGCAGCTCTGACGTGGCCTCTTTGTGTCCTGCCACGACTGGAGCCACGTCCTTTGTTCCAGGGGAGTTTCCAAGGTTTTAGTGCTTGGAGCCCCGAGGGAATTGGGGCTGGACATGAGATGTGTGCAGGACCCAGCCCGTGGGATCTCCTGAGCTGGGAGGGATCAGCATGGGCTGGGCCTGCAGAGGACAATCCCAACAATCCCCCTGATCCTTGAGCTCTGGGGTCGTTCCTGCTGCCCTGCTGGGCTTCCCTGGAGCTGGCTGGTGGGACTGGGGAGTGTTTCCCGTGGGTGCTGAGGGGCCTCAGCAGGGTCCATTCTCCCCACAGGGTGCCTGGAGGCCCTCCCTGAGCATCTCCACCCTGCTGAGCTCCATCCAGCTGCTGATGGCGGAGCCCAACCCCGACGACCCTCTCATGGCTGACATTGTGAGCTCCTCACTTGGGCAGGGCAGGGCAGGGGGGACTTCAGGCTGGCTTTAGGCTGAACTTTGGGGACTTCAGGCTGGCTTTAGGCTGAGCTTTGGGGACTTTAGGCCGGGTTTAGGCTGAGCTTTAGGTGGCCACCCTGGCAGTGGATCTACAGGAGCTGACCAAGGTCTGACCTCCAAGCTCTGCCCTCAGAACTGCCCGAGTTCCTTGAGCCAACCCAAGGCCTCTGCTGCTCTGGGTTTGGGCTGGCTCAGGAGCCCTAAAGCCAGGCCTAAGTCCCAGCTTCTTGGTGAGATGTGTTAAGCCTGGCTTTGTTTGCTCTTCCCTCCAGTCCTCAGAGTACAAGTACAACAAGCAGCTGTTCCTGCTCCGCGCCCGGGAGTGGACGGAGAGGCACGCGGGGCAGGGCAGGGTGAGGCCCGGCCCTTCTGCCCCCCTTTCCCTCCCAAAACTGGCTCTGTGTGTCTGCCTTTGACCTCCCCTTCTGCTCTGCCTCTCTTGGGGGGTTTGCCTCAGTCTGTAAACTCATTATCCTGCCATTAATGTCATTAATTTCACTGTGCTCTCTGTTAAGCTCGTTATGTTCTCCCTGCCCAATTAAATGTGTTCCCTCACTGACAAGGAGGGGGAGGGATGGATGAAACCCTTCCCTGGGGATCCCCTTCTTCCTCAGCTCTGCTCTGTGTCCTGCAGCTCTTCCCCACCTGCTCATCCACTCAGTATTCCCTTGGGAATGCAGCTTTCCTCCCTGTTCCTCCTCCCTCTTTCCCTCACCTAAAAAAATAAATCCCACTCCAGCAGATCAAAACCTTCACAAAAATCTGTTCCCTCTGGACCTTCCCCCTCCCCTGGGGGGGTCTTCCCCTCCCTGCCCCTGATTAGGAGAACACCCTTGGTGGGAGGGGAGTGTTCTCCCTGTGGGAATCCCGGGAGCTGTGCTCAGTATTCCAGCCCTGAGCCCATTCCCGGGGGAACTGGTGGTTGGAAGGGCATGGGATGAAGAGATCCCTGGAGCATCGTGGCCCTGCTGTGCTCCATCAGTGTCCTGCTCCCCTGCCATCCCCCTCCCTCCCTCCAAATCCCGGGATAAGGACCGTGGTGGAGCACAGGGCATTCCAAGGGCTGCACAATCCAGTCATTCACAGCTCTTTGCTTTTATTCCTCGGCTCATCACAGGCTCCTGAGCCTTTGGAAGAGAAAAACACCCCCAGGGAAAGGAGCCCCAGCAGTGAATCCTCTGGGCACAAGAGGAAAGGCAGCAGCATCAGCAGGAAGGAGAAGAAACCCTGCCCAGATTCCTGATCCCTGAGGGGGGGTTGTTCCCTCGGGATTGTCACTGTTCCCTCACACAGGGACAGGGGGTTCTGCCCCTGAAGGGCTGCAGCACTTTGGGTTTCTGCTTCCTTGTTTGTTTGGGTTTGTGGGGGGTTTTTGTTGAAATTTTCATTATATTAATAAAATTGAAAGCTTTCACTTGTGTCTGTTTTCCCCTTTTGTTGAGCGGAGTTTTTGGGATATTCCAAAGAAAACGGGAAGCAGCTCTTCCTTTCCCAGCTTTCAGAGAAGTGAGAAGAGCACCAGGAGTTCAGTTCCTGTTTCCAAAATCAACCTGAGAGCAGGAGCTGGGTCAGCAGCAGCTGCTGGGAATCCTTCCCTGGGGAAGGCTCGGTTTTCCATGGAAGTTTAATGATTCCAGCTCTCTGGGGCGGCCCCTGGAGCTCCAGTTTGGGCCATTTGGGATGACCTGGGTAGTGACCCCGCTCTGTGGTGGCCCCAGGAGGGGTCACCAGGGACCAGCAGTGGCCCAGGGGCAGGAGGAGAAGCCCAGAGGATTCCTGGAGGTCTGGGAATGGATGGATGTGGAGGACAGAGCAGGATGTCAGGGTGAGGAGCTTGGGAGCATCAGCAGGACTATGGGAGGATCCAGAGGAGGGAGTGCTGATGATCCCAGCAGGAGCGGGTTGGATGCTCAGCCTCATTCCCTGCAGGGAATCTCCCCCCTGTCCTGTCCCTGCTCCCAGAAAAACCCGAACCAGGCCCATCCCTGGAGCAGGTCAGGGCTGGAGCAGAGCTCTGCTGAGCCAGGTCAGGGCTGTTCCAGGCTGCTCCCGAGCTTCCAGAGGCTGGGAAGGGTCAGGGCTGTCC